CATTGTTTGACAAACGCCCTTAATAACTCTTGACTTGTTTATAGTCTTGTTCCAATCTGTATTTTGACATAGTTTGTGTCTCTTCGTCTGTCATGTGCAAATAACACAGTCCTGCCCATTGCGCTAATATATCTATTGTGGTAAACGTTATAGCAAAATCTCTACATCATCCATCGCACCATACCATCATATCACCCAGCCTACAGGAATATTAAAACAGTAAACATTACATTTATTCATTACATTACATTTACATTTATTCATTTGGAAGAGGCTTTATTTGCTACATTACATTTTATCTACATTTAATCATTTGGAAGAGGCTTTTATTCAAAACAGCTTGCATTGCATCTGAGCTGAACATCTTTTCACTTCATGCATTCCCTAGAAATCGAACCCATGACCTTGCTCTACAGGAATGCAAAAACAGTAAATTACGTTATGTTACATTACATTTATGCATTTGGAAGGGGCTTTTATCCAAAGTGAACTATATTGCATCTGAACTGTACATCTTTTCAGTTCAAGCATTCCCAGGGAATCAAACCCACGAGCTTGGCGTTGCAAGCGCTATGCTCTACAGCAATGCTGAATCAGTCGAGATTCTATTTACAATTCCCATTCTCTCAGAATGGAAGACAGTGAGTACCAGGACTGTGTGAGTGTGTATGTGGGTGTATAAGAGTGTGGAGCGTTATGCGTATGTTAAAAGCGAAGGAAAGCGAGGAAAAGAGGGAACGCTCCGCCCCCGTGGGGATACCGGTGTTGTCACACGTCGATTAACCGGTGGGAAAATTTCCTCACCGTCACAACCCTAGCGTATAGCAGAAATAGAGTGGAAGACGGCTCAAATTAGTACGTAACACTTGGATGGACGGCCATTCAGCCATTCTCCTCATAGCCAAATGCCCTGTAACTGTAATTACAAAGAGCAGTTTCACCAGCTTTATTAGAGTTTAGTGCCTCATTGGGTTTGGACAAAGTGTTTGCCTTTTTTTTTTTTTGTTATCCTGATGGGCCAAACACAGTTCCCTTGTGTAAACATAGCAAAAAATAACTGTTTGCTGCAAGAGCTCTTGAATAATGTGTGGCACCCATTATGATGAAGTCACAGTTTTTGCTGAGCCCTTTTGTCGTTTATGTTATGAGGGTTGGATGTTTTCATAGTGGAGATGGTCTGACATCCAGAGCAGCTGCGCTTCACGGAGAAACGCTGACTGTTTGATTAAAGCGTGTTTGCGTCGAGAATCTGTTAGCTGGTGTTCGTCTGCTGTGCGATGTACCTGCACAAGCAGCACGCTGTACTGTCATTCAGAAAAAGTCATCCCTCGCTGTAAAGTGTGTTTCTTACTGCTTTTACACTTGTGGGTGGGATGTAAGGAGACCCACAGTGTGCTGAAGCGGTTTGTGATGTCATTTAAGTTAGTTTAAAGAGTCTGGCTTTCCTTTAGGGAGAGAAGAGTGTTTGTAAAGAAAAGGGAGAGTGAGGAAGTGAACATAAAATTCATTATTCATCTGGCTGCAAGGAAAGCTGTTCCATAATTCATCCTGTTTCAGCAGCAGAATTAGAGAGATATGCTCAGCTCAAAGGCTGTCCGGGCTTCAAACAGGAGTTAGGCCCAGCTTTTCAGTCGTAATCTCGGTCGTCTCCTCGCCTGTCACTCAGATGTTTTATGGAAAGAGAATGCAACTTCTGATAATAATCCAGCGATTTTAATGCTTATAAAAGACAAATAAAAGGCTGTGATTATTATTAATTTTATTTGGAATTTAAAAGAAATGATTATTCATAATAAATAACTGATGTGTATATACATGTGTGTGTGTGTATATATGTGTATATATATGTATATATATATATATATATTAGTGCTGTCAAACGATTAATCGCGATTAATCGTTTGACAGCACTAATATATATATATATATATATATATATATATATATATATATATATATATATATATATATATATATATATATATATATATATATATATATATATATATATATATATATATATATATATATATATATATATATATATATATATATATATATATATATATATATATATATATATATATATATATATATATATATATATATATATATATATATATATATATATATATATATATATATATATATATATATATATATATATATATATATATATATATATATATATATATATATATATATATATATATATATATATATATATATATATATATATATATATATATATATATATATATATATATATATATATATATATATATATATATATATATATATATATATATATATATATATATATATATATATATATATATATATATATATATATATATATATATATATATATATATATATATATATATATATATATATATATATATATATATATATATATATATATATATATATATATATATATATATATATATATATATATATATATATATATATATATATATATATATATATATATATATATATATATATATATATATATATATATATATATATATATATATATATATATATATATATATATATATATATATATATATATATATATATATATATATATATATATATATATATATATATATATATATATATATATATATATATATATATATATATATATATATATATATATATATATATATATATATATATATATATATATATATATATATATATATATATATATATATATATATATATATATATATATATATATATATATATATATATATATATATATATATATATATATATATATATATATATATATATATATATATATATATATATATATATATATATATATATATATATATATATATATATATATATATATATATATATATATATATATATATATATATATATATATATATATATATATATATATATATATATATATATATATATATATATATATATATATATATATATATATATATATATATATATATATATATATATATATATATATATATATATATATATATATATATATATATATATATATATATATATATATATATATATATATATATATATATATATATATATATATATATATATATATATATATATATATATATATATATATATATATATATATATATATATATATATATATATATATATATATATATATATATATATATATATATATATATATATATATATATATATATATATATATATATATATATATATATATATATATATATATATATTTAGGCTAACAGTTTTAATCAGCAAGGATGCATTAAGGTATTAAGTGACAGTAAGGATATTTATAATGTTAAAAACAAATTATATTTTAAATAAATATTGTTCTGTTGAACTTTCTATTAATCAAGTAAGGGGTAAGCAGTTTTAGCACAAAGAAAAAATTTTTTTTTCGCTCAAAATATTAGAATGATTTCTGAATGATCATGTGACACTGAAGATTGGAGTAATGATGCTGAAAATTCAGCTTTGATCACAGGAATAAATTACATTTTCAAATATATTCAAATAGAAAATAGTTTTTTTTTTTTCAATTGTAATAATATTTCACAGTATTGCTGGTTAGACTGTATTATTGATCAAAGTAATGCATCCTGGTTGAGCATTAGAGACTTTTTCCATTCCATAGGCGTCCATTGTAAGTGCACGCTTGTGTTTACTAACTTGGGGACAAGTGTAAATTATTTTTTGTGGTAATCCTTTGTGGTTCCTTTAATGGATTGCACAATGGATAAAGTCTTGGCTCATGAAGCTGACTCTAGATCAGCAGAGTCTGTCCTGTTCAGCTCATTTCAGCCCTGCATTCAGCACAAGATTAATGGAGAAACGATTCGATGCTGAACCACTCTGACATTTATTTGGAACTTCTGGAACATGGAAATGAGCCTTAACAGCTTATATTAATCACTCATACACGTCAGTAATCATCCAGTTCCTGTAGTGACATCTATAAATGTAAATGACTACAGGGATTCAAAGATGGGTTTATAAATAGGCTTGTTTATGTGTGATAAAAGCTCTCTTCCAAATCTAGTGAGTTGGCTATTTAGTCAGCAAGTCCTCATAGGCACTTTACCACAGAGAAAGCCATTCCAAAACAGACAGCATGATCATGCATTTTAACCACATTCTAAAGCATCGTTGCATGTAGAGAAAACAATGTATTGAGACTAAATTAATTTTTTTATGTTTTTGAAAGAAAACATTTTTGTACTCCCCAAGGATTTATTTGATCATAAATACAGTAATATTATTACAACTTACAATAACTGTTTTCTATTTGAAAATATTTGAAAATATAATTTATTGCTGTGATCAAAGCTGAATTTTCAGCATCATTACTCCAGTCTTCAGTGTCACATGATCCTTCAGAAATTATTCTAATATGCTGATTTGCTGCTAATAAAATACATTTATTATTATCAATGTTGAAAACAGTTTTTCCTGCTTGATATTTTTGCGTATTTAATCATGATACACCACCATTCAAAAGGAAGATTTTAAAAAATCATATTTTTGTTTAGCAAGGACCCATTCAATTGATCAGAAGTGAAGTAAAGGCATTTTTAATGTTACAAAAAGTTTCTATTTCAAATAAAAAATGTTTATTGAACTTTAGTGGGGGAAAAAACCTGTTTTCGACTTTGGTAAGTATAAGGAAGCTTCTTAAGCACCAAATCATCATATTAGAAAGATTTCCGAAGGATCATGTGACACTAAAGACTGGAGTTACTGTATTTTTGATCAAGTAAATGCAGTCTTGGTAACATAAGAGACTTGCTTTAAAAACATTACACAATCTTATTTATTCCAAACTCTTCACTGGTAGTATATACAATCATTTAGTATCCAAATTTAGTTTAGTCTGATAAAATTGCATATTTTATCCAATATTTGTGTATGTTTTGGAACAGAGCCAGTGTGTTTGACTGTGTCTTCCTCTCTGTGTCTCTCTCTTACAGACCTTGGTCTGGATCAGTTTGTGGTGAAACGCTATGATGGAAAGGTAAGCAGCGCGATCTGTGTGCGTGTGCATATGTGGGCGAGTGAGTGGGAACCGAATAGTTACTTTGCCATTGTGCAGCTCGACAGGATGACGCAGGATGGAGACGTTTGTTCTCATTCACTCTTCATAAAAATCTTTCACTCTCTCTCCACAGAAACTCATCCACAGCTCAATCGTGAGCACGCTTTGAGATGATGGTCACTCTTGTGCAGTCTAAAAAACTCGTTGCACGCTTGAAACGTTTTGCTTGACAAGTTACACATACATTCTCATCAGGGCCATTTGTTGTCATTTATATTGTCATGTGTGTTTTCTGTAATTTACGAAAGACTGATCTGCCTCCAATCTGTGCTTTCTGGTTCTTGTTGCATCTCTTTGTTCTTGATGTCTCTAGGTTACAATCTTTAAACACACCTCTGCTGTGTCTATCCTTGCCTCAAATACTTGGCCTCTCTGTTTTGTTTTGTCCTCTAGTAACAGAATAGCACAGATTTTTGGTCAATACCAATAGCAGATCATTTATTTTAGAGAACAGATGCTTCCGATATTATAAGTCAGTACTTTTTTCAAATAAAATGTTTTTAGCAAGTGTGGGGGAATCCATAGATCTTCAAGCTACAATGTAATTATGTAAAAACATGCTCTTTTGTTGATTTTGATTGCTTCCATTGTCCTCTTTTGTAAGTCGCTTTGGATAAAAGCGTCTGCTAAATGACTAAATGTAAATTGTTATTTAAAGTAATTAAATAAAGTCTCTTATAATTAAATATAGAGACAAATAAGAGAGCTCTGCAAGCTGCTGGGAAAAAAAAAACGAATTACATTGAATTACATTTTATATTTTTACATAGTTTACATTAAAATATATATCACATAATATAATTTCTCATTTGTAATCAGAGCCATATTTGTAGCAAACATAATTTTTTTTATATACTATACTACTTTGAAACATGCTGAACTACTCTTACGCTATGAAAAAATTTCGCTAGAAAAAGTAGTCGCTACTTTTAGTTAATTGTTCCAAAACACTGTTATTTATACTAAGACAAATAGGCATCTAAACATAATGCTTCAAAAAAAAGAAAGAAAAGAAAGAAAAAGTTGTTCCGGGAGATCTGCATTCTGCAGAGTTCAGTTCCATCCCTGATCAAAGAGCCCCTCTTTAATTATCGAGTGTTCCTGAAGATAACAATTAGCTGGTTCAGGTGGAGCAGAACCTGGCTTAAAGCGGCATTCACGCCATGTCGTAATTACCGTAATTCCGAGATGACAACATGAGACATTCTACTCGGAGCTGAATTATGTGTTTCTATGGCAACGTATCAATGCCAAAGCCCTCATGTGCTCCAGACCTCGTAATTACAACTTGTGTAAACTCGGAATGTTCTGAGAGTTATGACTTGGACCAGTGACATCTGTACCACGTGACCGCTGCCAGGTTCACTTAGTCCGAGGACATGGAAAGCTATGAGTAAAATGTCACGTGTTGTCATCTCGTAATTACGACATGGCGTGAACGCAGCATAAGAGCCGGTCACACTACACTTTTTGTTCCATTGACTTCCATTTATATATATATATATATGCAAATGCATGGAGACAATGAACGCAAGCTCAGTGGCATGATTCATGAAGCTACCTGAACAAATTTTGAGTTTCAGTGAGTTGACAAAACCAAACAAATCCAGCCTGGTTTAGAACAGGTTCACAAAGCTCGATATAAACGTTAACTCTGTTAACTCGGTTTCAAAACCAACCCACCTTTCTTCAAACTTAATGCAAACTTACCTGGGTAAAAACCTTGCTGTGTTGCAAATTTCAAGTTTGGTCAGCTCTGCCCTGCAAATTTGTATCAATAGAAAATTGGCGTGATCATGGCATGACCTCTTATCTGAAATAAAAGAACACAAACTTTAAATCTGCAGGTTTGCAGTGTTGAATTAAAGCGGAGTAGATTGCATCTTTTTTTAAAGATGGAGCTGAGTGTGACATCATATTACAAAGTTGCAGCATCCGTAGAAATTTCAGGTGCTCAAAGTCTAGTGTGACCATGGCTTTAGTCCACCAATATCACAAGCATGCATGGTCTCAGTTGATGATTTTCACTGGGTTGTTTGTGGTTTCAGGACTTTGTCCCATTTTCCTTGTACAGGAAGCAGACTCTTGTTTCCAAAGTCATTAAGAGGGAACAGTAGTCAAATGACCCGGTTAGAGAGCGGCTGTCACGGTACAGGTGTACCTTTGAACAGGCTGATCTCTGGACTGGGCTGGGTCACTCTAATGACTGTTTGTGCTGTTCGCGCACACATTTTAACTAGGTGTATTTGTTTGCACATTAGTACTAATGAGCTGGTGAATCATTCTCAGGTCAAATGCTCATAAATCACTCGTCAGTTTCTCAATGAAGTCTAATCACACCAGGTTTTTCTTTTTATGTATCCACTGTGCATTCAAGATGCATAACGTTTCAGTATCCTCAAGGCTATACAGTTGCTCTGTAACTCCGCATGACTGTTTCTTGATCAGTTCTTGTGTTTTTCAGGGGTGCAATGATTTTTAGGGTAAATCTCAGCATCCTGTCAAGAACATGTCCAACTCATATTTCACTCCAAAATCCAAAGAAATAAATAAGAAAATATATATTTATTTTTCTTGTAAAAGAAATGTCTAATTTCTGCTAGGGCTGTGCAAATAATCGAATGCGATTTTCATGCGCATCTTGTCAGTAAAGCCGGTTCTGTGATTAATAGTAAATCTCCAGCACGTGCTTTCAGATGGAGCGCCATTTACTGCACAGAGCCGTAGATCACTGACAAGCTACGCAACATCGTGTTCAAGATCGCAGGCGATTCATTGCCGATTATGAACGCGATTCTGCGTAGCTTGTGAGTGATCTACGACTCTGTGTAGTAAATGCCGCTCCTTCTGAAAGCACGTGCTGGAGATTTACTACTAATCACAGAACCGGCTTTACTGACGAGATGCGCATGAAAATCGCATTCGATTATTTGCACAGCCCTAATTTCTGCTATTCTATTCCCCTATCCGCTGAGGGTTGTACAAATACTGTAGATAGTCCCGCCCCTAAGCCAACATCATTGGTTGAGGCTTTGTAGGTTTTCCACTTTAAAATGTTACCATGATAAATGTATCTTTCAAATACCACAGTATATTTTTTTATTAGTACTGTACTGTGGCTTTTGCTCTCATACAAAAAAGATTGTGTAAGCTTATATAATCTGAAGAGATTACACAATTATAGTTTTGTTGTAGTTTAAGTAATTGTAGTAGCTGTTGAATTTTAGTGGAAACCATGGTAAAACCTGCTCATTCCTCAGTTCTATATAAATGCATAAGGTAACATGTCTTAGATCTATAGCCTTTGTTTTTGTGATATTTACTGGCAAAATTCAATTTCCATGTTTTGTATATGCCCTCTTTCCATTTCCATTTCCCTCTCTCTCTTTTTTTGTTCTTGTTTTGTTCCCTTGGGTATTGTTGGCCTTAGGGATGTGGAATATGTCTTGTTGTTTCTTCATTTCCATATCTCTGTCAAATCTCGTGTCCCGGCAGGACTGCTGGATCATCTTCTTCTTCCACACTTCCTTGTGTCGCCATGGCCACTAAATCCTGGATGGAGTAATGCAATTCCAGGAACCGTATTTCTAGCAAGTTAGCGCATGGGTGCACTATGCTAACAAACACTCTTGTGTAATTGTTTTGCTTTCTACGATCGTGTGAACACACCAGCACTTTTAACCTTCTTGTTCATCATCTATCAACAGTATTTTGCAGGTCATCGCAGCTGGTGCTTTGCAAGTGTGACTTTCACAGCTAAAACCGGTTGTGTGTGTGAGAGAGAGAGAGTGTGTGTGCATTCCCTTCAGCCCATTTTAATGCGCACAGGCATTTTGCAAACACTATGTATGTTTTCCAACAATATGACGTTAGTGTTGGGGAAGCTACTTTGAAACTAGTTTGTCAAGATGAAACTAGTCAGTCTATCTCATACTTTAAAGGAATAGTTCACCCAAAAATGAAAAAGCTGTCATTAATTACACACCCTCTTGTCGTTCCAAACCCGTAAGACCTTTGTTCATCTTCGGAACACAAATTAAGATATTTTTGATGAAATCCGAGAGCTTTCTTGCACTTTCAAGGCCCAAAAAGGTAGTAAGGACATTGAAAAGTTATGTCTTCTTTCTTTGCGTGAACATTTGGGCAGTGTTATGCAAATCTTCCCACACAGTGACGTAGACGGGGGAGGGGTGTTTAAACGAGGCGTTTTAGGAGGGCGTGGACCAGTCTTAACTTTTATAAAGAATATCTCTTTGGGTTTGAGACTTTAGTCTTTGCAACTTTAGGGATCTTATCTATTCACGAACAGCTTGTAACACTCCAAAGAGAAAGGACAATTTTAAATTGCATCATATGACCCCTTTAAAGTAGTCAATTTGACATCAGTGGTTCAACCGTAATGTTATGAAGCTACAAGAATGCTTTTTGTGTTCCTATTGAATTACTGGATCTCACCCTCAAAAATATCAACGTGAGATTTAATTTAAAGTAAAAGTGACCACATCTTGAGGTTGCTGAGAACAAATTGCCGCTAAAAATTTTCTTGTCAACTACTGTCACACTATTAAGTTAGTAGCATATGGGAATAAGAATAACTTTCATAATACTGCTTCAGATCCACAATAAAAGATCATTTATGTTTAGAATGGATGTAATGAATAACTTGTGGTTGATTTCCAAGATTCGTTCCGTCTGGTTCAGTCAGTGAGTGAGCCGTTAGACCAATTCAAACCCATAACTTATGAGTTCAAGACAACATTTTTCAGTCTTTCACATTAAATGGCTCTTGGTTCCCAACCTTAGTAGCATCACTACTTGTAGCTGATTGCTCCCCAACACTGATAATATGTAATTATCTGTATGAACATGTAACTGTATACCTATGTTCAATCTCTTTTAACACATGACTTCATTGTTCCTCTAGGCATCAAGATGTCCTGCATTGTTTTTTTTGTTTTGTTTTGTTTTCATCGAGGATATAATTGTTTTGTTGCGTTTGTGATGACAGTGATTAATTTGTGCTCTTTCTGTGTCCATCTAACCAATAAACCCCGTCGTTCTCTCCTCTGCCATCTTTTTATTTCTCCATCCATCCCTATGGACCCTCTCCCCCTTTCTGTGCACCCCTCCCTCTCTGCAGGACTTCTGGCAGGTATGGGGCGTGTGCCAAGCTGCATGGGACTGCGTGTGCGTGAATGCGTCATTTAGCCTCTGTAGCGGAAAATTTCACTAGACCTCTTAATCCTTCTCTCTCTCTCTCCTTCTTCTTCTCCTTGAGTTGTCAGAGAGGAAATCCACATAAGTTCCCAGATGTGAAGCTCTGGCCAAACAATGCATTAAAAGCCTCTACATTTCATTGAAAATCACTGGATGGGTAATAAAACTTGGCCAGCCCAGCCAGATGAGCGAAAGAGTTTTAGTTCAGCAGTATGACTACAGCAAAGGAGGAGTGAAGTTACTGACAGTGCATTTTCCAGAAGAGCAGAGTGGAGAGGCTGACTGGAGCGAATATCAGGCTGGATCAGATAGCATATGGCCAGATGGTAGTTGTAGATGGTTGGTTGCTACTAGCTGAAGTCAAAAGAGCCCATTTCCAAGTCTTTATGGTATTCTGAACTCTAGATATGGTGCAGGTCCCTCCTTCATTGTAAGTCTATGGGATTTTAATGCCTTTTTATCATTAGCCAAGCGAAAACCATAAATCAGAATGCTCCTCACAAAGCCACACAATTAGAGATATCTTTCATTTAAAATCTCTAACCACAAGCGTTTTTTTTCTTCACCTTTATGTGTTATTGAAACAGGGCAGTGGTGAACTTTACTCAATGATTAGGACACACCCAGACACACATACTGCACATTCAGACCCATCTAGAAACATTAGGGATGTTCATTTCGGTTATTTTTCCTAACCGACAACCGACGCTCGTTAACTGATTGTTAACCGTTAACCGACAAGATTATTTTAAATTAGAATTGAATTAAATTAGAAAGGATAAGTGTCTGTGACCCGTTAAAAAATACTAACATTTGTTTTCCGGGGATTAATTTTACATGCGCAAAAAGCAGCAAACAACAGAACATGAGGATTCACATGGTCTTCATATCACATCACGCACCTGCAGCGCATCTGCCAGCGGAGAAAAACATAAAAAAACTAGACTATATATACGAAAGGAAACAGACGACAGAAAGCGGCATCCTATTTTTCTTTAGGCTTATTTTACAAAAGCACAAAGATTTGTTTTTATTGTGAATGTACAGAAATAAAGGCAAACCTTTTACAATTCCGATTATCTTTAGGACTAAAAGGAGCTTGCTTCTACTGTTAGAAGGAAAAAAACTCAAGTGATTGCGCCGGTGCCATATGCGCACACACAGTTAAGCTTTACTACCTTGACAATGATGCAGCCTGTTCATTATTATAATAAAATACAGTCAGTCAAACATATGGAAACAAATATGTAGTAAAAAAAAATATGTAGTAAAATCTGTGCCGTTAAGGTGCCCGCACCGCTGTGATGTTATGCAAAACATTTTGTTTTAC